AGCTGCATTTTTGTCACTGACTAAAGGCAGACAGGACAGCAGCTGAAACAGAGCAGCTGCCTTCCCTTTTCAACACCCCCATCTCTCCCTTTTCAACACCCCCATCTCCTCCCACAAATATTTTTTCCCCACGCACTGCAATTCTTCAACAGGAACCCATGCCTCTGCATTTGGCAGGAAATAGGCACAATAGAAATATTTGCTGAGGAGGAAAACACAGCCGGCCACAACTTGGGTCATACGAACAGATGAATTCTTCAATTATCTCACTATTTCAACCCTCAACTGTTCCTCCTTGATCCTCATCTCAAAAGAGTTTTAAAATAGGATCACTGTATAGATTTTGTAAACTATTTAAATTATACTTTAATATTACCATTTTCCATTAATACATTTGCTTACAGATAGAATTGTGGATGTAAAATTCATGGTCATTTCTTCAACAAGCACATCCACACTGTTGGATCAATAGCTGTTTAGATCTAAAGCGAAGGATAAAACTTCTCTCACTCAGTAGTTTCTTCAGAGTTTCTGCTGATAGTAATCCAAGTCCTGGACACCTTTTGCAAGTGCAGGAACATCAGCTGACACAATTAGATGAGGAAGTGATTTCAACTAACCTGCAAGGATATTTAAGAACACCTTTTGCCCTTGCCTTACCATGGGATGTTATTCTGCAAACACTTCAGAAGTAAAGTTGAATGCACGTAATTCCTCAGACCACAGTTCTATTTTTTTCCGCAGCTCTGAAATTTCAGGAAAGAAAGATCTGAAACATTGAAACTGCAATGTTCAACCTAATGTAGTCTCCACACTGTGATTACATGTTAAGAGTACACACAGGGGTTCAGGAAATAGACACTCACAGAGCACATTACTTTTCCAACTCGGGAAACATGATTCCAATTTTCAAGAGAAAAGTTTCCAGAAACTAACTGCAGACTTCCCCAGACCAGCAATGACTTGCAGAAAACACAGCAGGCAGATGAGCAGCTATTACAACAGCGATCCTTCTGATATTTACACACTGCTATCACTTCTCATACAAGTGTTTAGCATATGGAGGCAAAGTGAAAGAAAGATACACAGAATCCTAGAGTCAATCTATAAGAAACTGAATTCTTTAGTTAATATTCCATTCCTCTGAGAGATCTGTTACCTGAACTAATGAACCACTTTTTTTCAGCCCAGAAGATTTTTGGCAAGTTCTGCATTTACACCTATGCTTTTGAAACATCTGAACTACCTGATTTAGAAGAGACCTGTTTCTCTGTGCCAGGCTACCTTCAATGGAAGGTAGAGATATATTTTGGTAGAAGCTGAGATTCCTCCATATACGATATAGCTTTGATTGAAAAAAAGTGTTTCAGAACTGATTATGACTTAAGTCAGGAGTTAGCTACACACTATACATATTCAGTATACATATTGACTATAGTTAATATAGTTACCAAGTTTTATGGCTCTACAGATTTTCATTTTAAATACCTGTCTCTCAGTAATTACACCTATCAAAGTGTTGTAGGCTGATAATTACTGAAAAAAATTAAACCTGAAAACCATATAGATATCAATATTGGAGAGGTTTAAGCACAAAAGGGAAACCACCTTCCTACAACCTCCAAAAGAAATACTAAAAGACATTTTAAAAAGCCATATAGTCCATTCATGTTACCTACTACCCAATTATTAAAATTCTGAAAGATAAACTGAAGATGTCTTTCTTCAGTAATGGCTTCAGTAATGAAGCAAGTTACTACAGAACTGAAGTTCATTTTACATGGCAAAGCCAAAGCTCTCTTGTTCTGACAGCACAGAGCAAATATTTGCCATTTCATCTAATACAGAAGGGATTTGAGTAAACATGCAATGAATACCTTCTGCAAGCGGAAAGCACAATAGCCTCAGACCTGCTACTGTAGCAATCAGCAACACACTTGAAAGAATGTGGCACTGCCAAGGAGTTAGATCTTTCCTTCCACCCCCTTCTCCCTCCCATTAAGAGGGTTAATAGAAGGAACTAATCCCGTAGGAGTTCTCAACTGAAGGAAGATTTAGTAAGCAGCATATCCACATAGATGGGAAACGCAGACATCCATTTTTAAGCATATGGGTTCTAATCCACATCAAGGGAAAAACAAATAGGAGCTCAACTAGCTGTTGATAGAGATCAATATAAGAAATCAAAACAAAAGCAGTAAAAATAAGGCTAGTAGTAATTAAGGGTGTAATACTCAGAGATGTTACTCTTCTGATACTTGCTAAATATGATGTCCTAACCAACTGAAATGTCTGAAAAAGCCACTGTCCTCAAGAACTTAAAAGTTCTTGAAGGAGGAGTTCTGAGGAATCACATATACTGCATCTCTCCTCTCAAGGTTTCTTTTGGATATTCATGCTATGAAAAACCTACTTAGCAGAAGGTGAAATTACCACAAACACTACTAAAAAGTTGGTAAAGTTCTGAAGTTACAAGCCAGAGACCAGCAACCAGTATTAATTTCACTGTCTCAGAGGCAAATACCATTGGTAAATTTAATTGAAAAGCATGTCTATACTACTAACCTATACTATGTTTGGGAAAAAGAAAGGGCTACTACAGGTCTTAAGTGTTCTTCCCTGGTGTCAGCCGAACTGGAAATGCAGGATCCTCTGACCTCAGCAGCAGCAATATCGTGCCTCAAGGTGTTTTTGACAGCCTTTCCTATTGCCTATTCATCTGCTAGAATGAGCCCAAACACAAACAACCATAAGAGAGAATACCAACAAAAGACCAGGAACTTCTTAAGACAGCAATAGCCCGGTAGGTCGGTCAAGAAAGAATTCTCTTATTCCACTTCAGCAGAGCTGTTCCCTCTCTGTGTGTTGCCTAAAGCTAGGCAAACTCCAGAACAAAAGTTCTGGAATTCAAATAACTGGCGATAACTCAATTTAAAAAGGTTTATTTACTTCAGTTAAGGGAAAAGAGAAAACATTCAACTCAGGTGCCTGGGGAAAAAGCCTCGGTTTGACATAAATAAATAAGATCAAGAACATGCACAACATTCCTCGGAGCAGCACAGAACGCACATCTTCGCTATTTAATATTGCCCTGACCTTTAGGCATGACCTTATGCGGGCGCACAGCCCTTAACCCGACTCGCGGGGCCCTCGGTACCGCGAGACTGAGTCCAACGGCCGCCCAGACCCAACGGCAGCCACGTCCCGTTCTGCGGAGCCGCTGCGCGAGGCAAGGGGAAACTCCCGGGCCCTCCCCGCCGCCCCCAGGGCCGTCAGCGCGCCCGGCCC